TACATGCATGAACTTGAAGAATTAATTGATTGAATTATAGTATGATATATATAAATTAATGTTAATTATTATCATACACGTAAATAAATAATTGAATTGTATAAAAAGTTCATTTCACATAAACAATTTTTTTAATTGTTTTTTTATATTCACTGATTTTCGAATATCATTTTTACAGTGTTTGTAAAGTATTTCAAAATAACGTGCAACGCACGTTTAGCCGTGACTAGTATAACTAAATACCTTTGTAGGATGTTACAAATATTTTCACATAAATTAGGAACATATAATTAATATGGTTGGAAATATAAATTTTTTTTTATATTTTTCATAATATATCCTTACATTAAATAATATTTTAAATAAGATTAGTTTATTTTTGTTGATAAGATGATGCATTAAATAGGGGCGAACACTTATATTTTCAATAAAAAAATTGGCTTATGATTTGGGACAGATGAAAAAAGAAACAAAGTCCATCTTTATTCTTTATGGGACGGAACAACGTGCTGTCCAAAATCATTGAAGAAATTAAGATTATGGGTTTCACCAGCTCTCTTCTTCCAGCTTATCAAATATCTCGTATTTTTGTAATCAAACCATGTTAGGATAGACATTTAGCTGCTAGAATTATGATAAAACCTTGTTAATTCTTTAATTTATTTACTCATTTTTAGTTTTAAATTTTAATTCTTATGTTGATTGAATTTTTGTTATCGAATTGATTGTCATCTTATCATTTGTCCAATTTTGGGATAGTCTTTCAATTCGTGTTGAAACTGAGAGGTAAAACATGTTTCTAACTCAATTACTCCGTCCCTTCCATAAATATAAGCTTATTTGTATTTTCACACTTATTAAGAAAACTTAATTAATATATATTGGAACTATATATTTACATCCATTTTTCCTAATATACCCCTACACTGAATAATGGTAATTCATATTTGCGGTATGTCAATGAACAAGTTTTTAAAACTGTTGTCGGGACTATTTAATTATTTTGCCTTTAGTTAATATTAGCTTTAACTATTTTTCTTTTTCTTCTCGAGCTAATCTACACATTTTTACAAAATTTCGGTTTTTGTTATTTATGCGTTGTTTGAAAAGTCTCAACTAGGCAAACTATAATAAATTAACATTGAATAAGGTTCGAGTTCAAATTATTTTTTTTCTTATTAGAACAAATTAATAAAATAAAAATGTGGATTAAAAAGAAAAAAAAATTCAAACTTGAACCTTATTAAATATTAATTTATTATATTTNAAAAATGTGGATTAAAAAGAAAAAAAATAATTAGAACTTGAACCTTATTAAATATTAATTTATTATATTTTGTATAATGACCCAAAAAATTTTGACGTCATACCATGTAAAAGTATTCTAATAAAATAATATAAATTATATTAAAAATTTTGTCACGAAAAAAAATAATATACGTTAATGAAATAATTGATTTTTTTTTTTAAAAGGATGAGTTAGGCGTCTCTTTTGCGACGCTCGTTTAATTATTTTTAATGCCCAAACAATGTACGTTTGGACTTTTTGATAGGTCTACGACATATTTTTCAAAATGAGCTTCAAGATGACGCAATTGATTTGTGATTTTGTTAGTGTACAGTCGTCTGCGAATTTTTAAAATTAGCATACTATCGAAATATTTGTTTCAAATGACCATCGTAGCTTTTGTTAAGGTTGATCGTTTTGTGCGCCGTTAATGATGCGAGAAACTAGGGCATGAGCACTTTGAAATAATATTAAAGTTTAATATTTCGACTTCGTTTAACATTCTATAATGATGTTGAAAATTGACATTAAAATTAAGAAAATCATTTATATGTAATTAAGGGGGGCACGTGTAGGGGGTGGGCAAGGGAAAAACAAATGCATCGTTGACGTGACGATCTCACGTGACATCACCACATCAGCGATATGAAGATTGTTCT